TCGAGGTGGTGGTGGTAGGAAACAAATCAGTGTTTTCGTCGTAATATTCATGACAGGAAGACGCACTTTAGCTTCTATGATTTCTCTGATTTCTCAGAGATGTTTTCGAGGTTGAAGATTAAAGACCTTCAGATTTGCCTGTGGTGTTTTTAGATTATAGCACGCTTTTTGAAGAATATACGTTTTTGACTATAGTACATGTGGAAATACGGGTTAGCAGGTAGACAAGGTAGGCTGGGTAATAGCTGTTTAGAGCATGCGTAGATAGGACGAACAGTCACGACAACGACAATTTATCGCAGGCAGTCCGCTGATTTACTGCACGTTCATTGAACACTGACAGCAAGTCAGCGTTAAACTTCGGTGCTTCACTTCCCAAAAGCCACCCATCCGCAATTAAAATAACGGTCAATTTTTACTCGAGAAAATATAAAAATCTTCCTATTACAGATAAACATTCGCGTCGATTCCAACATTTTGGCGGGACTTGTTCAATTGTGTAATGCTTGACGACATGATAACAGTTCCACGCTGTGACATTTCAGCTATGACATTTTACAATGAAATAAACACGCACAGGTACGTATCGCTTAATTCAGGCTATAAGTTGTTGTTGACAACGAACAGATTGACGTCATCACGCACATACATTGACCGGCTTAGTCGAAGAGTTCGTTTTGGTGGTTTGAGGCATCACCAAGTGAAATGTCACCCAAGGATTCTATTTTTGTTGGATAACGTAGACAAACATGTTACTATGGTAATGGTATTTCTATAAGCTAAATGGGTATCGGGTTTGGGTTCTCGCATTTAAAACGATAACATGTAACTGGTGATTGTACAGTAACGTGATACTGCCACGGTGAGACAGTGATAGTATCCTTCCTCATCCTGTGCCAAAAAAAAAAAATCAACGATCACGCTATCTTTAGAATAATTTGCCTACCGGCTACCGTCTTCAACATGACCCCACTCTATCTATCATGGGTTGTATTTGTAGAACCCGCTGTGAAAGCAATATGGTTTCCAAGGCAACTGAGATGACGTCGGTAGTTTCAGTGAATATATTCATGAGTGTGTCGTGACAAACGGAATATTTTGCTTTCAATCGTACAATTGAACATACGATATACATTTCTTTAATGTCATAGAAGAGATGAAACCTGAGGGTATGTTCCAGGGTGTAACATATTTGTCCGGGGGTAGATTTTTGTGGAGGTATCGGCGTGTGATGACACCGTGACAAAGATAACAGAAACACATGGTGGGACATGCCATTAGAATGCCAGATCTAAATGAAACAAATCATTTTTTTAAAAATCAAACAAAACGCGTATAATCGACAGATCTCTTCTTCATCATTCAGTAAAGGGTGTCTCCGTCTAATTGACATTAAGATGCAGGATTGTGTAATAGCCAACTTATAAAGTTTAGATTCAAGCTAAATTAGAAATGTCTAAATTTATAAAGTTTAGATTTAAATTTAGATTTAAATTTAGAAAGCTAAATTATAAATTATCTTATTCTATTTCTAAATGTCGGCGCTATTTAGAAACGATGTCTTGTGACTTTTAAATTATTATTATTCAGATGCTAATTAGACGATCTAATATATAAACTACGCGCTATTCAGAAACTGTCTTCCGATTTTTAAAAATATTATTTTTCGGGCGCAATTGCCGCTATTTAGCTTGCTATTTAGACGATTCATGGACTATCTAAATAATAAAGTACGGCGCTATTTATAAACGATGGGTTGTTACTTGAAATTATGATTATTATTTATTAATCGCTCCCATTATTCACCCCTTACAAACAAATTCAAACGACGGTTGCATTAAACGAACGCGTATGCAAGCATCGCAATACGGTTACCCTGTTGTTGCCGCAAAGGTCACGCGATGACCAATTAAATGTAAGTACGAGAATTTGTGAACATATCTTAATAATGCCTTGAATAGTGACGCCGAGATAATCCGCCACCCAAGCAATCCAAGCAAGACGTTCCACGTTGCTAAGACGCGCACCACTGTACCACGTATTTCTATAAGCTCTGCGCGCGCTGCTGAGGAACGCGGAACGCCAAGCGAAAAACCGGTGAAAATTCGAGAAAACAACAGGAACTCAACTTTGAAGTAATCCTGAACAATCAAATCGACATGCGTCACACACGCAGGGATAATCTTGTTCAGGGGAGTCTCAACAACCATCCCAAAGAGAGTTGTCGGTCTTTGTTTTCACCGTGATGGTTGCCTTGCGGTGAAAATGCCTGGATGAGAATTATGGTAGGTGACGAAGTTACATAACGGAGTAAGTTTTTACCCGACATCATGCACATACGTTAACTTTTGCCATTTTTTACGCAAATCTGCCAGGTGTAATATACACATTCATTGTTTTCTGACGTTAGTTCTGCCTTTGAGTCGGACAATAATAATTAGGTTCAAATACCACGAAAAGTGTTTTCTTTGAAGTATTACCGTTTTGTTCTCAATATTATTACATTCCAGGTAAAATAAAGTATGAACATTTATTAATACAAATTTGAAAATTATAAATTTGACAATATACTTTGACTTGCATTGTAATACGTGGCCTTAAAGGGGCACTTCCAGTTAAGCCTAATCGCACAACAAATTTACTTTCTGTATTAAAATTACAATGGATAACTGAAAGATAGATTAACTTTGTAAACAACATAAACAATAGTGTCCCATGATTCTTTGGTGCAATCCCTGGGCTTGGAAGGTTCCCCTTTAAGTACATGGGAGGAAATACACTTCGATTGATTATTGCTGTCGCCTCGGCCTTTAAGTCGGACAATAATTATTTTAATTATTTGGAAAAAATGCATGTCTGTGCAGTGGTTTTAAATATGATTTAACTCGTGGCACCGTGCTGTCTATCGTTGCTGTTGAGAGAAACGTGGACTATAGCATTTGCTTATTTTTCCTAAATGCAAAATGTTTATGTTGAGGAAATTAATATATTCAAAATAATTCTCTCTATACGTTAAATAAAATGTTCTAGTTCTGTAACACAACACTTGATTGCAAGACCCCGTCCACATGTAGCCAACTGTTCTAGTTCTAGATGATATATCATATTATAATATATATCTGTTTTTGTCACATTTAGCTCCATAGACAATACACGTAGTGTATCTGCCATACTATTATAACACCTAACTCGTAAAAAATGAACTAGAAGTAGAACATGGTTGGTACAGGCGTGATTTTACCGCCACGCTGCGGCATTTATGACTGGCATTTTAATTGGGAAGTACACTAAATTTTTATCACGACCTTACGATATATCGCTTTGAATGAGTCAAACACGGTGTAACTATGGCGACTCCACATCAACAATCAACCAGAAACCCGCCCGGCATATACCTTGGCGAGAGATTACCTCATATCAGGAAATAATCATATGCATGACGTCAAATGCAATCTTAAGGCGCGTGCGCAGATTAACAAATCACTAAGCGCGTGGGCGACGAATGCGAGTTGGATCGTGAGATAGTGCTGAAAACACCGGTCACTGAACGGCAGACTAAGCTGAATAACAAATTACGATGCACCGTATTAGCAAAACAAAATAATTATCAGCGATTTGGCAGAAGTCCCTAAGTGATGAAATAAATTCGATTTTATTTCTGACCGGGGGCGATCAAAATGGAATCAAGAACATCATGGTGAATGTGGAGACGTTGTCGATGGCTTACTACTTGAATATTCAGAAATGAATCTGATTAAAATTAGACTATATTTGTATAGTCTATACTTTTTATTTCCATTTATTTTTGTATTACGTATACTAGTATCTTATTTTACGTTATTGTTAACTATCAAATTTTTGAAAATTACTAGCATTTAAATGATAATTAGAGGTAATTTAAATATAAAAAAATACAAATCATATTAAAAATAAATGGAAACGTGTCCAATATAGAATCAGTATGCGGACAGGCGAGATTTTTTTAAAAAAACGCCAAAAAATGAAGGACGCAAACACGATAAACAGTAAAATTGAGAGTAAACACAAATAACATGCTGTACAAATCCAAAATTTTGCTTAATGGTGCGCTACAGGGCCTGTTTAATAATTCAAATACACAGTCTTCGTAAATTAATTATACGCATTGACGGGCCTCGAAGGGTGCTAAACGTTGTACTACGAATGCCGCCTAGAAGTAGATTCCATAACACCCTGTAAGACATGACACCACAATAAGATTGATTTGAAAATAAGCGAATAGTGCAGAGAATAATATTATAATAGCCACTCCCGGCCCAGGGCGATCAGTCAGTGCGCGGTATTCCGTAGCACAAAGGCGTAGGTGGGGTGACTGGCAATGACGTCAGTGTGTGGGATTCCACGATAAATTAGCATATCATACCACAAACAAGCAAGTGTATGGAATATCAAACAGACCTTACTGCTCACGGGGTCACACAAGTAGAAACGGCAGTTACCCGAGATATATTCCATTAACATTTAAAATTTAATATGAAACGATTTAACTTAAGATTGCTTCGTATCTCAGATTTATGTTTTGTAGTCTTAAGCTCGCGAGCACACGCCATTCTTCAAAACTGTCTGATGCCGTTCTGAATGCATAAGGTTTCTGTAACACGTGTAGTCTGCCATTATAGACTACCGAATAATGCTCATAGAAACAGAAACATCAGTAGCAGCAGCAACGACAACTTCATGTACAATAATACTAACAATGTTATTAATATATAGAGAAACAAGAAAATTAATATTGACCAATTGTCGATTTTGTTATCTGAAATAAATGATTAATAAAATAAAAAAAACAACGAAGTAATGTCGCAAATACCTATGCAGCCTGAGATTTGGCACGTTCCATCAGAGTACAAGAGGTATTAACCTGCTAGTAAAAAGAATAAAATAAAACGAAACACCTACGCGAAGAGATTTCGCCCATATTAAAGTGAACAAAACAGCGGCCTTGGGCGAGTCCTACTTACCTGACTCGGATAGCTACTATGTGGCTAACAGGAAACACTCAAATACTATAGAACGGATCGTGGTTCTCACTGAATCAAAACATGAAATCCGGGGAACTACCACGCATTGAAAAATCGCGGCCCTGCGCGTAGAGGGAGACGGCTTGGGGGCAACCACCGATGAACTGAGAGAGTCAGTGACACTCTTGTGTAACGTACTCCCCAAAACGCGGTATTGCGATTACACGACCGGTGTCCCCTGTCAGTCCTAGTCGACACGATGACTGGGTGAGTGTAAATATATATGAACGAAGCGGTAAAATCTGTTCGTGAATAAAAACAGACCCCCTAAAGACGTGGATGTTTTCGCCCGTGTGACGTCACGCCGAGATTACAAATCTCCATAACAATGATGTTCTAACGATGTTGTTGATTTCAAACTGCGGTGATGCATGTCCGTTTTCACAAAAAATGGTACGACACCAGTTTTAAGGACCGTGCGTGGAAATATTGTAGCTAACAAACAGCATACGCTCATTACCGTCTTTCAGAACAATCGTCGGAGCCAATATTGGGGTCGCTATGTATGGCATAATATAGTCGCGAGGCATGGTTTAGCGATATATTCCAAATTTTCTCTTTATTTTAGCACTACGATTTCGTTGTACTTTTCTCTTGAATCAATACCCAAAAAAGGATGAGAAGGTGGCGTCGGGTCGACCTTACGTTATTGGTTAGTCAACGCTGCATATACGGTCTATGTTTACAGAGTGAATGTACTAAGTACTCAATCTCAAATTAGTGTTAATAAAACGTAAAACACAAAAACACAAACAGCGCACTACTCGCTTATGCCCGCCCACCGTGGAATGTCGTTGCTGTACTGATGAAATTTGTCCACAGTTGTTGTCAAGCGTTCTTACCGATACACAAAAAATATTACCAATATGAGTTAAAGCGGGAGGGTCGTCGCCTGCACATGCGTCAGATGGCCATAGCGTGTCATTGTTTACAAACAAGCGTATGCCTTTGCATCTTGAATTTTCAAGGTGAATGTTCCGGCGAAGCACTCATTATCACCTTGAAGTATTTCATTAGGACTATGTGTATGTGACAATGCCCTCACAGTTTAGAATCAGTTT